GGGGGGGGGGGGGGGGGGGGGGGGGGGGGGAATAATTCTACTATTGTGAAGCTTCCATGTTGTTGTAAATGTCGAAAGTTACCAGCAAGCCGGTAAATCTCGGGGGAGATTTAAACCAAGGAGTTAAATCAACAAGGACGAAAGTGGACAGTCATACTGCTCGAGTGAAAACTCCACATCACTCTTCTTTTGGATCTTACTCACTCTGCTCATCAGAGAGACAGAAACAGGCTGGATGTTTGCCGTCAGAAAGCGGGAAGCGCAGCGAACCTGAGAGAGCACTCCCGCATTTCCAGTCACCTCGCATTGTACTCTCACTTTTAGGAGCGCAGACGCTACCGTGACTGAATAGGGGCACGACTCCGAGGATGTGGCCAGGCAGCGGCATGTTTGCAAACTCTGCGTGTGATTCATTAGGCTGAGTTTTAAAAGGGATGTCAGAGATCCGCGAAGAAGCGTTAATTTTACAGAATTACGGGAGCTCTGATCTCTTTTTCAGAATTCTTATAGTCAGTTTCGGAAGTGAGCTGGAGTGCCTCTTTAAAACATCTTTGCGGGTCACGTGAAGCACTGGTGACATAGTAAAACACAGCTGCGGCCAGTCAGGTGTGATGTTTACTATCATTCACGGATCACAAAGCACCAGGTTTGCTCATTCCAGTCAAAGACGCTCTACCAGTTAAGGTATGTATTGATTATCAGGTTGATTATCAGGCTGATTATGAGGTTGACTGTCAGGTATAGATCTATGTCTGTGGAGTGTGAAGCTGTCAGGGGAGCAATGCATGCTGAGCCGTAACACTCTGGTGTGCATCGCTGAGGCAGGACAGGTTGAAAGGGAGTGTTCCTGTCTCGGGAGGAGAAGGACCTCAGCGAGACAGCAGATCTTCAGATAGCACCACAAGTAAAGGTTGCATTATCTTTTTCCAGATACATCAAGGATCTGAGGAATCCAGCAAATGTAACCCTCAGCTATTTTTAAGTCGAATGCAAAAAAAAAAAATAAAAAAAAAAAAATCCAATATTGTGTCTATTTCATAAAACTTAACACAAGGATAATTCAATTTTTTTGGCAAATCATTTTATGACCTAAGAACATTTGGATAGAAAGTGTCTGCTATTATGGAGTTAATTTTGAAATGTGCAGTACAAGGAATTCCTCAGCACACCTTCACATTCTTAACAATGAAAAGAATGGTGTGACCAAACTCTGACTGTAAGCTGCAGGGTCTAGGTTTGGAGTAGAGCGTCTCGCTTCTGGAAGGTCTCTCGTCCTCTGAATGGATGTTCTGCCGTCTGTGTTCTGGTGTAGGGGAACATGCAGCTTCTGGATGTAGGAGAGAATCAGTCACCTATATGAGGAGTAGAAGCTTGGCCTACACATAGCCGGCCAGTGTGTGTCTCGGAGCCGGATTGTTTGTGTTTTTCTGCGAGACGCTGGCTCTTTGTGTTGGTGTGTCTGTTTGTCTTCCTGTCTATTTGGAGTTGTAGTGTCTACGCAAAGGATAGTAATTACAGGAAGTTCTAGACTCACAGAAGTTATCTTTTCCACAAAACCGTACACAATTCACATTTTACGTAAGCCAAGAGCAACCTATACTAGTAATTTGGGGGAGGTACCTGGGCTTATGACTCGGTGTGTGTGTGTGTGTGTGTGTAGTCCAGGTATTTATTACATTGTAGGGACCAAGTGTCCCCATGATGTGAGAAAAACCTGTTATTCTGATTTTGTGGGGACCATGTTTTCAGTCCCCAAAAGAAGAAATTCAATTTAATAACCACCTGTGACTGCAATCAAAAAACTAAAAATGTCATAAGTCTTGTATTTTGTTTTGTTACTAATGGTTAAGGTTAGGGCTGGGTAGAGATTCAGGTTGTCATTACTGGGATTAGAGGTATACCCATAGAAATGAATGTCAAGTCCCTAAGAAGGTATGAGTACAGGTCTGTGTGTGCATGTGTGTGTGTGCGTGACTCTGTGCGTGTGTCTACGCTGAGCCTCCCAGAATCGGCCAGGCTCCTGCCAAGACTATCGAGGAGAACGGGCATCTTGCCCCAGGTGAGTGCCAGGTTTGGGTAGCTTTGGGTAAGACTCTGTCGGGAGGGAGACCGGGCCAAGCCCATCGGGGGGGCGACGGCGACACCCAGGAATCGGCGCACCGGAGAGACGGGCCGCCGCTGACAGGCGCTAATGAAGACGCCCGGGTTTGACTAATGAGCTGGCAGCACCGTCTCAGCGCCGAGGACCCAGAACCGAAGACGGATAGCCGGGCACAGTGGAACGGCTCGTTTACAAGAACGGCACATCTACTCATCAGGGAGGGTCGCCGTCCTGGGGGGCTGTGATTTTCCAGCTCTGCTTTTTTGCTCGTCCTGTTCTCGGGGCAAACACACAAACATGTTTCTCCATTATACTGCTAAGCCGCTCCGGTTGTTTTCTAGTAAGAATTCTAAACTAGTTAGAACCACCAGTGTAACTGCCAGTGCCGGCAGTTACACTGCTGTTATACAATGTGCAGATTGTGGAGGAGAACAAGCATTTTTTGGACTGTGAGACACTCCTCCCACCGTCCGAGCAGTCAGATATGACTTAGCTGTGAGATACCAGCAGCAGAATCGCAACAGTCTATGAGTCAGAGGCCCAGGGTTGGATCTTGGCATTAAATCCCCCCCCCCCCCCGGGTGTGGCATGGAGACGAGGGAGGGGCCTGAATGCCACCTGGTCCCCCGCTTCCTGGCTCGATTCCTCTAAACCGGCCAACTGCTCACACCTCGCGTGGGCTTTTTTAAAAAGCCCAAAAATAGGGGCTCGGATGTCAGCCTAGTCACGGTGCCGGCAGCGCGGCCGGGGAGGGCCAGCAGTGGGCCCTCAGGGTCTCTCTGGCAGGGCCATAAATCCAGGCGTTTTTTTTTTTTGGGATTTTGTTCCTGGGGTCAAACCGGATGCATCTCAGCGGAGGTGACAGCTGCAGACGCCAAATCGATCCGCCGTTTCTCTCCTTTCAGTGGCGGCGTGATACTCGGGACGTCCGGCATTTCTGGAGATCCAGACGGGCGTGAGGAGCTGCCTGAACCCCCGCTAACCAGACGGCGCTCCTCGCAGATCCCCAGCTTCCCCCAGTGCGGTTTGGAAACGCGAATGGGTGAGTCATCGTCTTCCGGGTTACGTACCGGTCTCCAGTCTATAAAACATGCGGCGATGTCCCAGTAGGAATCGTTCCGGTTTCGCTGGCGCTTTATATTTTCGTTCATTTACACATTTCAAATCGCTCTTCTCAACAGGACGATGGGGCGCGGCGGGGGGTGGGGGGGGGGGGGAATTTCCTGGGAGGGGGGCCTGGGGGTCAGGGACCAGGGGCTCCCG